GCATACTGTCTCAAAAGGGTTTTCAAGAGTTTCCTGGAAGTCTTTCTCTAAGACTGGTCTTGAAGAGCGTTTGTGAGATTTAGACTCTTTAAAATTCTCCTCTCTATAACTGCTTTTGTAGGAGCCCTTAAAAAATTTTATGCTTTAAAGGTCTTTACGGAGCCAGAAACTTTTACAGTCTTTGATATTCTCTGACAGCTCTTAAAGAGCTCTTCAACAGTATTTAAGGGAGTCCTTAAGAGCCTCCAGAGTTTTCTAAATCTCTTCCCGTCTTTACGAGGGTTTTGTGTAGTAGAGGAGCAAGTAGGTCTGGGGTCACTTGAACCTGGGAAAATTTTTGGACCATGGCAAAGTCTTTCGGCAGTTGATCTGGGGTGCTATATTCCGACAGGGCTGGACGCACCATCTTGGATGTTGGACTGGACACAATGGCGAAAAAGGTACATTACTGAAACAGTTAAGACATTGAAACAATACATAAATTACGCAACATATTATAGAGGGTTATCAAGAAAAGGTGGACCCGGAACATGCTGTAAAATAGTTTTTTTTTTCATCCAAAGATAGAGAAAATGTACATATCTTAATAGGTTGCTATGTTCCTGTGACACGACAGACACCGAAGCTATAATCGACCTCCGTCCCAGGAGGAGGAGGAGTGACAGTTGCATCCCTCTATACATTGCGCTAAAACGTTATTACATAAAAATCGCACACAACTGGTCTACCTATGACAATCGGTTAAGATTGTGCGCGTCAAGATGTGCCTGCGCATGCGCACACTTACAACTTCAAGCTTAGTGCAATGGTGATACTAGTGCTACAAACACCGTTTAAAGTTCAAAGTTTGATCGCCGTTCAAAGCCCAAAATTTCCTCACCGTTCAAAGTCCAAAGGTTGGTTGCCGGTTTCTCGCCGTTCAAACGTTGCTTATCAAGGTGATAATGATATTCAGGTTTCTTTAATTAATTTTAATTTAAAGAAAATTGACCTTATTAGTTTGCACGGGCCGGACTTCATCTTCCTAACGCAAACTACTCATTCAGCTTTAAACGTATCGAGATGTAATTTTTGTATTCGACTTATGTATTTTATTTTGTCAGTGTTTCCAACTATCAAAACTTTCCGGGGAGGGGAGTATGGGGAACTGGAGGAAACACGGATTCGAAGCCAATTTTGGTCAAAATTTCTTATGAGTTTCATTCTAGTCATTGTTGTACGCAGGGCCGGACTGGCCCAGGCCGCTAGGCCACCCGAGCGGCCGTGGCCCCGCTGGGATCCTGGACGGGGCCCTCTTTGGGTCAGGCAATTTTTGAAGCATTAATGTTTGTAAATGTTGAGCGTATTTTTAGTTTAAATTTGGAGAAGGATAAATTAATTGATAAATTTGCCAATACGTCATTGGAATTACAGCGCCTTCTCCTTTAACTTAATGTTCAATACTGCTCAGCAAGTTGTTTGAAATGCAATTAAAAAAATCTGCAAATCCCTTGTCTTTTTTTTCGGGGGGGGGCATGAGTTTGGGAGCCTTTTGCTCATGGAGCGCCCGGGGCCCCTACCCACCCAGTCCGGCCCTGGTTGTACGGGGTGGCCAACTAAGAATGTGAGGTACTGTATCTGGGAATCCATCCATCGTAGAGGCTTGCGGTAAAAAAATGTATTACTAAAACGGCCACGAGCAAAACCTGGAAAATATTTTTAACTTTCTGAAATGACCGCTAGGGGGCGCAACTGCAATCTGGAATCTAAAAAAGTGATGTTTCTGTGAATTCCGCTATATTAACCTAACAAAAAAATGTCCGGTTTTTGAAGTCGACGATAATCTGAACCTTTTTTGTTTGACAATTATTGCTGTATCTCTAAAAATAAAGTGGTGGGGGTATTCAAAGGTTTCCGTAAAGACCCTGTATCTTCGAAACGGCTGAGCCGATTTAAACAAACTTGGGTTAGTTCAAAAGAGCTATTCTTCAGCTACAAATATACTAAGTTTTGTTAGTTTCACATATCACCGCTTGAGGGCTTTTTTCGACATTCCGACAGAAATGGTTAATTTTCTAAAAAAAATTAAATGCTTTGGTTCGATTTTTTTTCATGAAAAAGTAGCTAAATGATGCCTAAACAAGCTCGCGAAAACAGTATCTCGATATCTTGAGATATATATATTTTCATATGGTGATGGCCATCATTTCGAGCATTTACGGCGGCATTAAAAGCTTCCCTTTTTTAATTCGATCCACTTTAGGGCCCCAAATTATATAATAAAAATAATTCCGGAAAAATTAGCTTAAAAAAATTAAATTTTGAGGGTATAAAATTTTCTTTGGCCTGAATTTTAGGTTAGGAACAAGATATCGAGATGCGGTTTGCGCGAGTTTGTTTAGGCATCATTTAGCTACTTTTTCATGAAAAAAATCAAACCAACGCATTTAATTTTTTTAAGAAAATTAACCATTTCTGTCGGAATGTCGAAAAAAGTCCTCAGGTGGCGATATGTGAAACTAACTTTTCAATTAACCCGAGTTTGTTAATATCGGTTCAGTCGTTTCGAAGATACAGAGTGTTCTTTACTGAAACCTTTGAATACCCCCCCACCACTTCATTTTTAGAGATACCGGAAAAATTGTCAAACAAAAAAGGTTTAGATTATCGTCGTCTTCAAAGACCGGACATTTTTTTGTTAGGTTAATATAGCGGAATTCACAAAAAAGTCACTTTTTTAGAGTCCAGATTGCAGTTACGCCCCCTAGCGGCCATCTCAGAAACTTAAAAATATTTTCCAGGTTTTTCTCGTGGCCGTTTTAGTAAAAAAATTTTTTACCGCAAGCCTCTACGATGGACAGATTCTCAGATACAGTACCTCGCATTCTTATTTGGCCACCCTGTATTATTTGCACTTGCGCAGTAGGCGGGTAGTGATGTGAAAAGAGGCCAGGCGCATGTGGTCCCGTGAGGTCCCCACGTAGGCTGAGATACATATTCACGGTATTAGTGATCGAAACCTGGTAAACCAGTAAACAGGTAAACGGCTAAACAGGTATCACAAGATCTGTTTTCCCAATAAAAGTAGGCCAAGGTTACAAAAGAGTAAGGTTCAAATTACAACACTCTCCAAGGGCAATGTTTCAAGGGCAAATATTGAGCGGTTAACGAGTAGGTTGCCGCTCCTGCAAAATGGTCGCCGAGACGCCGACTGTTTTTTTATTGACTTCTATCAAATTTTTAAAGCCTTTAAGGTTAGCTTTCACTTTCGGGTATCGTGGTTCCAATCCCAGCGCCAATAAAAAAAATTTTCTGCAGTAATTACCGATGACGCAGATCTAAGGTGGCTGTTTCAAAATAGCAACCTAGATGGCGGGTTTAATAATCGGGTGGCGCGCTCCCATTGGTTGATCACGTAACCACAAAATGCTGTGACGTCACAGAGGGCGGGCTCTAAAGGTTCCTGGAGTGCTTCTATCCGATGTGATACGCTTGGTCCCTGACGTCGGGTTGTTCCCCCTGAGCCAACGACCCCAGATACAGCCTTAGGCTTTGGCGCAGGGCCCGCTTGACCGGGCGCTTCCTGGTCATCGGCTTCTGTATGACGGTCTTGTTCTTCTTGCGAATAGGAGCTGGCCCACCACCAAGTTACCGGACCCCTTTTGAGTAACCGGCTGACGAGGAGCCCAGAAAGTGTTTGTTTGAATTATCGTCCATACAAATCCCACGAGTTCAACGGAAATGCGGTCTCACCTGGGCAGAGTCGCTTGCTCGGAGGTCGCCCGATATCCGAGGGGCATCGACCTTCGTCACTCCCAGCCCGGGTTTACATATACCGGGGGTACAAAATTGAAGTTTATCTCTGGGGTTATAATAATAGGCGGCTATGGAGCGTAGTGCTTGCCACGCTACCTCCATGGAATTCAGTCTTGATACGGGCGAGGTTAAATTAAAATACTATACCGGTGGTAAACAATTGAGGAAGAATTGTGGCCCAAATAGCAGCTAACATTAATTCTGAAAATGATTTTTCTAGAGCGATACAAGGCGCCATCAAGTCGATAAAGGATTATCACCGGCGATAAGGAATGAAATCCTGATTCGATAATTCTATCTAAGCAAATTGAACTGTGTTTCTTCGAAAAGAAGTACTCCGATAGATGGCGATAAATTCCTTTAGGATATTTTTAAATATAAGAATTAAAAATATCTCAGCGATATTTGTATATATAGGTAAGTAAATGGCGTCCTCTTCTTTTAATATTTAAAAATATATCCAAGTCCGTTCTTTCATGTTCCAGACACTTGTAATTACAGGTATAATTAATTAATTAATAATAAGATATGCTTCTTTCGTGGAAAATTAAAATTAAGACGAAAAATGATGCTCTTTCAATTCGCCTACCCTGTCATTGCGTCCGCTCAGTTTTAAGTTGTTTTTCTGTAAACTAAATAAATTTAGATCTTAAATTGTGCATAAAACGCCAACATTCGCAAATTTTACCGGGCCCGAGCGCCAAAGGGAATTAAATGGGTACGTTCACCCACAAAAGAACCATAAGTAACAAACTGCGGCCAGGTGCAACCCTTAGCGAGCGCGGTATACAAGGGGAAGTTATGTACCGGAATCGCATCCAACCTGTAGATTTTTTTTAAAGCAACACCTGGCCGCAGGAGATATAGATGCCCAGGTCAGCTTGCAACAATAAAATTTGTCTAAATGCACCGAAAATTGTGTCCTAAATTTAGGACACGAATTAATTTGGAAATTGAAATTATTCTAATTTAAGCCAGATGGTCCGCCGACGTTTGATAGTGGTAGGTTACCATTCGAATAGAAAATACGGATAAAAGGGGTTAAGGAACTCTCTCCCCACGTCCCCTGCAGTGTGTGTGGTAAAATGCATCGAACAGATGGGGGGCTAAGTCGCCCCGAGGGCTTTTTACCTTAAATGCAAACTACTGCACAATTAGATCTTAATATACAGGGTGGTTCATTTTCATATTTTTTTTTGTTTCAGCTTGGGATAATTTACAGAGATATTAAGTTAGAAAATATATTAGTCGACGAATGCGGTCACATCGTTCTGACCGACTTCGGCCTTAGTAAAGAATTAGCAAGGGACCAAAGTGATAACGAGCAGCAGCGGGCGTACTCCTTCTGTGGAACCATAGAATACATGGCGCCGGAAGTTGTCAGAGGCGGAACTATTGGTCACGATATCGTAAGTTTCTTTTGCATTATAATTTTTTTCCCTCCAGCCTTTAGAACGCGTTTCATCATTGTTTTTATTATTAATAATTCGATAGGCCTTAGCCCACTTTTCCGCATCGATACCCTTGTGATTCCCGTAGCGCTATCGTGGCACGAAACCGACTTGATCTCATTAAAGGGAAAAGCTGCCCCAAATTGTGATCGATTTGGCCCAGATATTGTATAATTGTAATAATTGTGGCAATCGATCGGCAATGTCACAGTTAATCTTTTTATTTATTTAAGCTGGATAAACACTTCCAGTTTCAGTGTCAAAAGCAATTACCGAAAGAGCAATCAATGGTAATGTCATCGTCTGCTTTTTGTTTTTATTGTGGGCGTGGTTTCAGCCAAAGCTACTCCACCAACTTAGCCCACTAACGAACATCCGCGCCCGAATCCGAATTAGAACCTTCAGTTACTCCCCATTTAAAGTGAAATAAATATGAATATTTCAAAAAACAAAAAATTAAAACACAAAAATTAAAAAATAGAGAATTAATATTGGCATTAAATCATATAATTGAAGATGGCAATTTTTGTAATTTTTAGTGAGAGTTTGAGATTGAGTTTAATTTCGGGAATTTGTAATACTAGGATTTTCAAACTTTAGGAGTGAGATTTGAGGGATTTTTTGATTTTTGAACCGTCGGGATTGTGAGATTTTTAGCTTTCGCAGGTTAAAGATTTTGAAATTTTTAACGTTTTGGTACATTTTTTAAGTGTTGGGAATTTGTGATTTCAGAATTTTTATTTTGGAATTGGCGATAATGAGATAATTTGGGAATTTCTGAGATTTTGGTACTTTTAGAATTTGAAATATTGTGATATTGAGATTTTGCAATTTGTGAAGTAGAGATTCTAGAATTTTGAGATTTTAGGAATTTGAGTTTGAGAGTTCGAAATGTTGGGAATTTGAGAAAATGGCATTTTTGAGAGCTTAGAATTTTGATTTTTTATATCTTACATTTCAGACTTTGGTAATTCGAGATTTTTGAAATTTTGCGGTCTGGTAATTTTGAATTTTTTTTAATTTTGGGAATTTAGAAAATTTGAAGCTTTTACTGGCAGTTGCGGTTTTATGATTTTTGATATTGTAAGAATTTAAAATTTTGGGATTTTGATTTTGACATTTTGGGATTTTGCAATTGTGTTGTTCAATTTGGATCAGTAGAAGAGGTGTCGTCTCACTCATATTGAAGTTGGCTCGACGCATGCGCCCACTTTTAATGAAGTGAATTTTATGTGCTTTCTTAAGATGGATCAATGGCATACACACCGAATACCAGTAAAATCGAGCGAAAGTTAGTTCTACGCCTGCACGCCACCCATATACAGTATGTATTAGTTATATATATACTTGTTGATCCAAAATGAGTTGAGTAAGAGTAAATGCGGTTCTGATTTTGAAATTCACACAAAATTACGCAATCCGTCGGTAAGCAAAAATGTATGTAATTTGAAAGTGTTATCTGCACATAAATAACTCTTCTAGTTTTCAGGGTTCAATTCCGTGCTGCGATTGATCGTTTTCGATATTTCGCAACTGCTGTCGCGTAATTCTAGTTAATTTCCTTTTCTCCCACGATTTTCTGGGGTCGCGTCGCCAACTTTCGCACGCATTTAACTCGACGGGGTTGTACTCAGAAACCTTCCGCTCAAATAAAAAATCTAAAAAAATTTAGTAAAAAAAATCAATTGAAATCCGCTAAGGGGCTCCCGTTACAATCTGAGTCGGTGGCATAAGTTTCAGGGCACGAGATCAGTGTGTAATAAAAAAATTATCAAAGTGCTCGTGTGCGATCGAAAGGGATTCAGTGCCTTTTTGGTGTGGCAGCTCATTTCTCTTCCCAAATTCCACCTCTTAGCGGACTGTATAGATTCTAAATTTTCTTGTTTCTAAAATTTCAAATTCCGAATCGTATTTCAAATCCAAAAAACACAATTTCTCTAAAAGTCTCAAATTCCTAAAAGCATCTTAGGGACCTTTAAAAACCGTATACTTTCTAAAATTTCAAAATCCCAAAATCTCCAATTACTGAAATTAAAAATTCCACCATCTTTAGTTTCCAAAATTTGAAAAATTCCAAAAAATCCAAAAACTAAATTTCCCAAATTTCAAATTCTGACAATTTCAAACCAAAAATCATCAATTTCTCCAAATATCAAATTCCACCTCTTAGTGGGCTTTTTATAGCATCTAACAGGCCATTATAAATCGTATAATTTCTACAAATTCAGAATCTCAAAATCTTGGATTTCTGAAATTGAATAAATAGTTCCAAAATCTCTAGTTTAAAAATCCCAAAAAATGCAAAATATCTAAATTCTCAACATTTTAAAAATCTCAAATTCCAAAATTCCATCTCTTAGAGCACAAATCTTGCAAAATTTTCAAAATCTTAAAATTCCCAAAAATCCAAATTCCATTATTTCAAGGATCTCAAATTCCGAAAATGTCAAACCCAAAAATCTCAATTTTTTAAAATCTTAAATTCCACCTCTTAGTGGGTCTTTAAAATCTTATAATTTCTAAAATTTTAGATTCCCTAAATCTCGAATTCCAGAAACTTAAATATCACAGCATTCCAAATGTTTCAAAAATCCAAAATCTAAATTCCCAAAAATTCCAAATTCCCAAATTATTAGACTTTAGAGCATTTGACAAGCCTTTAAAAACCATATAATTTCTAAAATCTCTTAATCCCAACATCTCGAATTCCTGAAATTTAAAAAACCACAAAAGTTTAAAATTTCTAGTCTTCATAAATCTCGTTTCCAAAATCTAAAATTTTCAAATTTCACTTTATAGCATTTAACGGATCTTTAAAAAAAAGTCTGGAATTCTTTAAAAATCACATAACTCCAAAATACCAAATCTAAATTCTCAATATTTAAAAAAATCTCAAATTCCGACAATTTCAATCCCAAAAATCTCAATTCCTCTAAATCATAAATTTCCAAATTCCACCTCTTAAGTGGGCTATATAGCATCCAACAGGCCTTTAAAACCTTATGATTTCTAAAATTTCAAAATCCCAAAATCGTGAATTCCTGAAATTTAAAAATCACAATATTGCAGAATTTCTAATTTCCAAAATTTCGAAAATCCCAAAAAAATAAATCCAAATTCCCAACATTTAAAAAATCTCAAAATTCTTACAAATTCTAACCCAAACAACCTCAAAAATTGTCCAATTTTACCGTAGTGCGATCTGCCTTAAAAAATCTTATAATTTCCTGAAATTTAGAAATCGCAAAGTTCCAAAATCGCTAGTTTTCAAAATTAAATTTACATTTCAAAAATCTCAAATTTGCGACAATTTTAAGCCCAAAAATTTCACTTTCTATAAATCTGAAATTCTTAAAAATCAAATTTCAAAATGTCACGTCTTAGTGAGCCTATACAAAATAATAATATAAAACCCTCCAAAATTTCAAAAACTTTAAAATTCCCAAAAATCCAAATTGCATTACTTCAAGGATCTCAAATTCCGAAAATGTCATACCACCTCTTAGTGGACTGTATAGCATCTAATGGGTAATCTTGTAATTTCTAAAATTTCAGAATCCCGAAATCTCAAATTCCAGAAACTTAAATATCACAGCATTCCAAAAATTTCAAAAAAATCCAAAATCTAAATTCCCAAAAATTCCGACAATTTAATTTCAAACCGAAAAATCGCAATTTCTCTCAATGTGACATACGCAAAAATATCAAATTCCCAAATTCCATCTTTTAGTAGACTTAATAGCATTTGACAGGACTTTAAAAACTTATGATTTCTAAAATTTCTAATCTCCAAAAATCTTAATCCAAAATGTTCAAATTTCATTTTTTAGTGGGCTTTATAGCGTTTAACAGGTCTTTAAAAAACATATTTAAAAAATTTCAGAATCCCAAAATCTGGAATTCTTAAAAAATCACATTACTCCAAAATTTCAAAAATACCAAATCGCAATTTCTCTAATTCATAAATTTTCAATTCCACCTCTAAGTGGGCTATATAGCATCCAACAGTGCTTTAAAAACTAAAATTTCAGAATTCCAAAATCGTGAATTCCTGAAATTTAAAAATCACAAAATTGCAGAATCTCTAGTTTCCAAAATTTCGAAAATCCCAAAAAAATCATAAATTGAAATTCCCAACATTTGAAAAATCTCTAAATTCCCACATATTCTAACCCAAACATCTCAATTTCTCAAAAATTCCCAAAAATTTCAAATTCTCCAATTTTACCCTTAGCCACTACTTAGTGGGACTACTATAAAGTATCTGCCTTCAAAAATCTTATAATTTCCTATTAAAAGTCGCTAGTTTTCAAAATTAAATTCACATTTCAAAAATCTCAAAATTCCGAAAATTTTAAATCCAACAATCTCAATTTCTCTAAATCTTAATTTCCAAAAATATCTTAATTCCACCTCGTAGTTAGACTTTCGTCTTCTGAAATTTAGAAATCACAAACATTTAAATATCCCAAAAATCCAAATTCCTAACATCTCAATCTCAAAATTCCGAAAATTTTAAATCAAACAATCTCAATTTCTCTCAATCTTAATTTCCAAAAATATCTAATTCCACCTCGTAGTTTGCGACTTCTGAAATTTAGGAATCACAAAAATTCAAATATCCCAAAAATCCAAATTCGTAACATTTTAAAAATCTGTAATTCCGACAATTTCAAACCAAAAATTCTCAATTTTTCTAAATCTTAAATTTTCAAAAAACTCAAATTCCCAAATTCCACTTCTTATAGCATGTAAGAGGCTTTTTAAAAGCTTACAATTTCTAAAGTTTCAGAATCCCAAGTTTTGAATTCCCGAAATTTAGAAAATTGCAAAATCTCTTGTTTTCAAAATTTCAAAAATCAAAAATTAAAAATTTCTAAAATCCACCTTCTAGTATGGTTTATAGCATCTAACCAATCTCGGATTTCCAAAATCTTGAATTTCTTAAATTTAAAAAA